AGATTCGGAGTGAAATTACCAAAAATAACTTAATATTGGCTGGAAAGCGCAACGTCTCCTCTTCAGACGCAATTGGAACTTTTCAACAAAGCCTGGCAGAGTTACGGTACTGCAAATTTGTCTTGATCGTCGCCGCTCCGTTCGCTCTGGAAGGGTTAAGTGCACCAAGACATTTGCACTTTAAAGTAGACCAAAATACTTGGTAAGATTTTGTATTTTTTGCAGCACGGTCAACAGCGGCGACCGTAAAGCACAACAGAGCGATCGTTAGCTTTACATCTAACCTGAAATTCAAAACAGATCTGTCTGTAAAACATCAGCATTTACAGGATGGATGAGAATTAACAGCTCATTTAGCAGCACGTCCTTCGTTGTTGTTGTGTGTGTGAGGGGTATAAATACTACGGCGTACTTTGCTGTGTGTGTGTGCTGTACACATTAAAACAAAGTGGGAAAAGCTGGTGGCCTGTTCTCCCTCAAACCACAGCTTTGTCAAAGTGACCGCATCACACAGCGATCTGGGAATGCCAACGGTGAACCAGAGCTGGGAGGAAAACGGCAGGAACCTTAAAAAAGACGGACTCGGCTGTTCCTGTCGTCCAACTGTCACTAAATAAAAGCTGCACCCTCACCTTTGGATAAGAAATTACATTCACCAACGCTAACTACTCTGCTTTTTGTTGATCTTTTTATGGATCTTGTTCCGTTTTCTTTCTTTTTTTTTGGAGATTATATTTGGATATCTAGTACTGCTGTCACATGGCAGTCACAAAGCACTCTGTAATTATAACCCAGCTATGTTTCTGCAAGGAAGACTAAAAATACTAAATACATTTGTGCTGTTTTATTTTTTTTTTAGTCTGGATGTGTTTGGGCTTTTTATTTTTGTTAGGAAGGAAGAGTTGACTTGTGTGTACAATGCTACTTATGGGTGCTAACTGGTAATCAGACATAGTACTATTGGATTAATTGTGTTTGTGACACAAGAATTATTTAAAAAATAACCTGTTTGGGTTTTGTTTTCGTCATTTTCAAAATAATTTAAGACAAATTTATTTATTTATTGTCAGTTTTGAAGCAGAAACCGAACTCCGTTTGTAATCTGTCTATGAGATTTTTCACACTTATCCGTCTTGCATGACGACAGTTTGAATATCTGCTATTTATCTGTGAAATCACCAGCAGCAATCACTACTTTGTGTTTCAGAACTTTAAAAAAATATTTCTCCAAACCTAATGAAGGACTTATTTAGCTAACTAACAGATGAAACAAATCAATAGTTTAATATTTTTAAACTGTACTGACTTTTTTTATTCTTTTACTACACTTTCCACTGATTCCAACATTTTTGCTCCAGAAACACAAACTTATCTTCCAGCAAAGCGAGCAGTGCAGTGACCTGAGATTATCTGTTGATTTTCTTTGTGAAGATGAACAGAAAATCTACAAAAATACACAGTTGGAATTACTTTAAGAGCACTGCTCTGTCTGCTTTTTATTGGGAAACTGATCTTTCTTGATATGTTCTTTTTTAAAAATTAGAAATCCTAAATTAAGCCTTCTTTAACATATTTTTAATATGTTTGCCTGCCTCTCTTCTTGTCAGAAACAAATTTTCTTGCCCGTTTAATCTTAAATTTAAATCTGAAAGGGGATTGAATGAATTTGAAACCATCAAGAAGCATGGCAGCATTATGCTGTGGGCCAGTTTTCCTGACAGCTCACCCATTACAACTTCTATTGTGCTGGGTTGTAGTTCAGGGATTATTTGAGCTTTTGAGAGGCTAAGGGTTTTCGATTACCATCTAAAACCAGAGGGAATAATTGTCCAAACATGCAAAGCTTCCACCGAAAAACAATATGAAAAATCTGCAAAAGGAACTAAAATGCTGCCACCATCAGTTTAGAAAAAACAGGTTAATTTGATAAAACAGCCTAAGCTTTTAATAGCATCTATTAAAAGTTTATGGGCAATTCTTCAAAGCTGAATCTATTCCAGGGAATCAACTAATTATAAAAAGAGGCTAAATATCAAACTAGTGATTAAGATGTAACTTAATAATATTTAACCTATATAATATTTAACATGTATACATTTTACCTTGTGTGTATATAATGGTACACTGTTATGATTGCAGAAAAAACACAATAAGATCTGACTTTTCCTCCCAAAATATTAAAAAGATCAAAATAAAGACATTTCTCCACGTGGTGATTGTGTTTTGAACAGATGATTAGTTTGACTTTCTCAGGTTTTCCAGCTCCTGAAATGATTCATAATTAAAATCAGACGGGTCAAAGTGTTTGTATTCAGTTTAGAAAAAAGTTAAGAGAAGTTCTAGTTTAAGACAATTCTTAGTGAGTTGGTCGCAAAGAGCAACTAATCGCATAATAAATAAAAATTTAGCTCAATAATGTCTATTCTGATTAATTCATAATTTCATAATCCGTTTTATTTGTCGTTTCACTTTTGTGTGGGTTTTATTTGTTTTTTTTTTTTTATTTTGGATATTTAAAATTCCAAAATAAAATTAAAAATTCTTTATAAAATTAAAGTTGACCTTTGACAGTTCTAACTTGCATTGTTATTATATTATTATTATTTTACAACAAAACAACAATATTATTGTTTATCGGAATAATTTCTGGGACATTTTATCGTCCAGTAATATTTATCACAAAAGCTCTATGTTTTAGATATAGTAATATTGTGCAATTAGTGTTTTATATCAAACTTTAGATGTAAACTCCCTTTTTGTTGCAAGTTGTAAATTACTCAACCTGTTAGTTTTAAGTGCTGTCGTCTTTTTTTCCACCCTTTTTGCATTTTTTTTTTTTTTTTTTACAACTTTTAGTCATGCGTCAGTTTGTGTGAGAAAGTTTTGTTGCCCTTTCAGAATAGTCCTACTTCTCCTTTCGTCTATAGCAGAAATAGTCGGCGTGATGAAAACGTTGCTGTCAGAGCACATGAGCGGTGTCGCTGTTATCTAATGGCTCATAATGCACTATTCATTCTCGGTTATTTAATCCTCGCTGGGCGTGTTGGTGTGCCGCTTTCAGGCGCCCGAAGTGAAAACGAAGGGACCTACAGAGGAGTGTGAACGCGCGCGTCGGGTTTCCTGTGTGCTGCAGCCGCGCCGTCTGGCTGGTGACATCCTGGAACTGCAGATGGGTTGGTTAGAAAATCAAAGATGGTGAGGAGATGACCCGGTTTGGTCCACATCTGGGTCAGTGCTGCTGAAGGAAGTCAGCGCCGTCAGCTGAATGCAGCTTCCTGTCTGAAACATCCTCCACCTCCTCTGACTTGACGGGAAGAAAAAATAGCTTTCGTTACTTTTTTCTTTTTTAGTTTAGCTTATTTATTTAAAGAATATTCACAACTCAAATAAGATGTATAAAGCAGCTCAATGGAAGTATAAACATATTTGACCCTGACCCCCTTCTCATATGTGTCTCATGCTGTTCATTATTTATTAAAAAAGAAATGGATATATAAAATTAAATGATAGGTTGTGTTTTTGGAGAAATCCAAGACATCAAACTTGTTTACTGTAAATTTATTGTTAATCAGTTGATGTTATTTTAAAATAGTTAAGATAATACAGAACATTTAAAAATCCAAATAAGCTTTTCTAGTTTGTTGCTCAGGTGAGGTTAAAATGGTCATAATATCACTGCTATGATGCAAGCTAATTACAAGTGATGCTATTAACAGTTAGCGTAGGAATGATAAACAATCTGGTGTTGATATGTTGGTCTGGGGGGACCCTATATAAAAGTCAGCTTAGGGCCCCGAAAAGGTTTGGACCGGCCCTGATGGCTACTTTTTACCTCTGGTTTAAGAAGGAGGTTTTAGCAAAAAAAGACGCTATGTAGGGTGTGAATACTTTCACGAGCGTAATGGAGCCCCCTGTTGGAAGTCATTGCTGGGTGATCCGGGTCATCCAGAGGCCCGACCCGGCTCCGGTTGTTCCCAGCCTGCCCGCTGCCGTCTCTTTCCCGACAGAGAGAGCATGTGCAGCAGCAGCAGCAAGTTGTCTAACCTCCACAATAACCGCCTTATGCAATCACTCTGGCTAGAGACAGGCAAAAAATAGCCCAGACTGCGCGCGGCCGCCCTCTAGTGGCACGCAGCTGCCACAGCAGCGGCCTCCCCGGGCCTCTGCAGGGAGTCGGACATGGTGGCTGCCTCCAGTTCGGACTTTGTTTCCTCCTGTTCGGTTCTCAGGGTTCATTCAGCTGCTTGAAATTCTTGAAATTTTTTAACAACTGTTTTAAATGTTTGGAAAGTGCTTGAAATATGCAAACTGCACAGTTTTGTAAAAAGGTTTAATCTAACTATTTGATTAAAAGCCTGAATTCGGAAAACGTTGTTGACAGTTGAAACCTGACGCTTTCATACGATTAATAAAGAGACACAAACACAAGTTTATCACGACCTGAAGTTAAACCACTCTTTTTTTAAGATTAGATATTCTTACCAAAATTATTTCTATTTCATAAATGCCAGAAAACTTGGCAAGAAGATTTTTGTTTTGTGTTTAACCATTAAATTTGAGCAGGAAGATTTGTGTGGATTGTTTCAATGTTATAAATATTTATTATTTCTAATGGCGCTGTGACTTATTGAGCATTTTGTATTTCACACATTACACAACTTTATTGAATTGTGGACATTTTGTCAAATTAGTGTTTTATTCTTGAGCGAAACTTTTCAAAACATTACATTTTGTTATATTTTAGTTCAATTTGCTCGTGATGTAGAATGTGGAACGCAAACACAAGACATTATTAATATTAATAGTGACAAATGACATAAATTGTATGAATTGTAACTGACTTTTGGTAGTTCATTCAAGTAAAATTTTGAAAAGTTTCGCTCAAGAATGCTTAAATTTTACCATTGAATAAAGTGTACTAACCGTGTATTTTACTGTTTCTGTGAATCTAAAGTTTAAATATCTCTCTTTATTCTTTTTTTTTTTTTTTTTTTTTGCAGTTTCTTGGACAGAATTGACTCAGTAAGACAGAGCGACTACACGCCTACAGACCAGGTCAGTCCTCCTGCTAATCTGCTCCAAAGAGGCAGCTTGTTGTTTTTACTTTTAGTTTTAAATCCTCCTTTATTTTTGTCCGCAGGATCTTCTACGCTGCCGAGTGTTAACTTCAGGGATTTTTGAGACGAGGTTCCAAGTAGACAAAGTCAACTTTCAGTAAGTCGGACCAAAGTGTGGCTCGCGGGCCACTTGTGGCCCTCGGAACAATTTTGTGTGGCCCTTGGCTTGAAAAAACAAAACAACAATAATACTTTAAAAACTGGTTTCCGGGCTAAAGTGGTTAAAATCTGTGCTGGTGAAAGTTTCACTAATGCTGTTAAACAAAAATCATTTTAAAATTGTAGAATGTAATGTGTAGCAGAATGTATTCATGTAGTTTTACATTTAATTTAATTAATTAGTAATAGGGACCAAAACAACCAGTGACTTTGGAACACTCATTTAATAAACTTGGAAAAACCAAAAGTATTGTTGTCACTAAAAATACACAACAATCCAGACAAAGATGAGAAATTTTGAATATTTTTTGTTTGTTTTTAATCTGGTAAACCTGCAATTGCCTTTAAATCTACAAAGAACTACAGAAATCTGTCTGCTTTGCTTATTTTATTAAAGTATTATATTTGGTTTGTTTATTTAGAAAGTAAAAATAAAGAAGTTGACAATTACAGTCTTAAAATGGAAAGTTCGTACACCCCGCTCTAAAACTAGACAGAGATTCGAAAACGCCAGAAGCACATTTAGAATTTGTCATAATTTTGTGCTCCCAGCTTATTTTTGTCACTTTTATAATATTATAGAATATTTTTCCGCCGATAAAAGGACGCATTGTTCCCGTTACGTCCACATCCGCTCTTACGTCATGTGTTATGCAGCCGCTATGCAGAACTCCGTCAGCCGGCTCCAAAAGCAGAGCCTCCAGAGGCGTTTTCCAGTAATTTTCTCCTTTTAGAAGCATTTGACCCTGTTCCGTTTTGGCATCACCGTTAAGGAATAATGGCGGATCGGAATGCCCTCCTGGGCGTCGGTACTATATTTACCTTTTCCTCGTGATTCAGGGCCTGAAATGTCAGAAGTTTGTTCCCTCCGACATCAGCGCCGCCTCAAAGAGGAGAAAAAAGAAAACAACACGAAGGAAACGGAGCCGAGGACGACTGAACTGAACAACTGAACTGAACTGAATCACTGGACTGAACTGAATCACTGAACTGAACAACTGAACTGAACTGAAGCACTGAACTGAACAACTGAACTGAATCACTGAACTGAACAACTGAACTGAATCACTGGACTGAAATGAAGCACTGAACTGAACAACTGAACTGAACTGAATCACTGGACTGAACTGAATCACTGAACTGAACAACTGAACTGAACTGAATCACTGAACTGAACAACTGGACTGAAATGAAGCACTGAACTGAACAACTGAACTGAACATCTCTACTGAACATCTGAACTGAAGAATTGAACATCTGTACTGAACTAAACTAAACATTTCAACTCAATATCAGAAATGAACTGAATCATTCATTGACCTACTGGACAGAACATTTAGAATTTTTTCTATTGTTTGAACGTCTGTCTGTCTGTCGGCATCGTGTTGTTTACCGTCGGTCGTTCTGCGTTTCAAAGCCGTTTTTAACCACTAGATGTCAGCAGCGAGTGTGTCGCTGTCTCTCTGACCTCTGTTTGTTTCTTTCCCACAGCATGTTTGATGTCGGCGGTCAGAGAGATGAAAGGAGAAAATGGATCCAGTGCTTTAACGGTGAGACCTCCAGCTGCTTAATATCAATTAAACATTCATTAAACATTAGTTAAATGTTGCTAATATCAATAAGAACAGAGATTAGATGTGCAGAAGCGATCCTGAGTCTGAGTCTGTGCTGTTCCTCCAGACGTCACTGCTATCATCTTCGTGGTGGCCAGCAGCAGCTACAACATGGTAATAAGGGAAGACAACAACACCAACAGGCTACGGGAAGCACTCGACCTTTTCCGCAGTATTTGGAATAACAGGTGAGACCCGACTCGGAGAAAGCAGCTCCTTGCTCTGTCCTTTGCAGCACTCAGTCATTGTATGAGTTACAGGCCAGCCAACACAGACTTTTAAGGCCAATTCTGGAAGTTTGCACCTTTTTCTTCTGATGCAATATTTGTCACATTAATTACTTTGTCAAGCCATTTATTTATTTCTATAGCTACTGATAATTTTGGCAGGATGAGCCTTCCATATGCTAAGTAGTTTAACCTTCACATGTCTGTGAATCGGTGCTTAAATTCAGAGTCCTCCCTCAGACTTGATGAATAATGTTTTACTGTTGGTATTTAATTAAAAATCTAATTTAATATAGATAATCTGCCTACAGCAGAGCTCAGACATTTTTACTGCAGGATTTAAGAAAATACAAAGCTTGTAAAAAATTATCAGTGTCATAATCATCACATAATTATTGAAAGACGTCAAAGAGGATTGAAGTTTCAGATTACTGTTTAGATCTGGACTTTGACTAGGCCACTCTGACACATTAATAATACATTTTAATCTAAACACATGTCTCTCTAGCTGCAGCCTTCAAAGATTGGTTTGTGTTTATCTCAACCCAACTTGTTGAAGAAATTCATCCCACAGCATCATGCTGCCAGATCTGTCACCCGGACAATAAATTGTCCCAGAAGTTGTTGCGTTAAATGATGATATTGTTATTTTGTGACCATTTTCTATTGATATAATGGTAATAATGGCATAATAATGCAAGGACACATAATGGAGCTAAAACTGCGGCATCAGACCGAAGACTTTTATCATCCAGTTTTTGATAGAAAGAGAGAAAAACAATAAATCACGCTGTGGGGAATCATTGATCTTGTTTTAATTGATTGATTGCTTAGGCCTGGATGCTGTTAAACAGTAAAATAAGCATGTTTAACATAAAAGTCGCTGCTGTTTGTTTTTCAGATGGTTACGCACTATATCCGTCATTTTATTCCTGAACAAGCAGGACATGCTGGCTGAGAAAGTATTAGCCGGAAAGTCCAAAATTGAGGACTATTTCCCCGAATACTCTCGCTACACCATACCAAATGAAGGTCAGTGGCTCGCCTCGCTTCGCCGCTAACAAACACTTAGCCGCTCTGGTTTTCTGTTGTTTTTAAAAGGAGACTCTGTTGTCCTTTCAGCAACTCCTGAACCAGGCGAAGACCCCAGAGTGACGCGAGCCAAATTCTTCATCCGTGACGAGTTCCTTGTAAGTACGACGCCTGAATTTAGTGGCCTGATTGTCGGGGTAACAACCCACAGGTGCGTTGACCCAACAGAAATAGGTTTTCTCTAAATAATGTAGATGTTGACATGGCTCCAGCTAATCTCTGGGACCCGGATAGCCTCATTATCTGGGTTGTTTTCTAAGAACCTTAGTGGGAATAGTGGGCATTTCTTTATGAAAGAACGGTTCTATTTTTGACGTTTGCCGAAGCAGGGTTTCCATTTTGTCCCTTTGTGGTTTGTTCAATGTCTCAGCGTGTTTCATATAAAAATAAGACGCTTATTGCAGCTTAATGATGACTAACGCTGGTCTAAAAATGTTTGTTTGGTCACTGCCTGACTCATATTACCTGCGTTCGTGGTGACTGTCGCTATATTTAGACAACGGCAGATCTAAAAACAGAATTTCTAGATTTGTTTTGGTCATAATGGGATTGAATCTTCAAAGAAGAAATTGTTTAAGATGAAAGAAAAATGATAAATCTCTCCAGGTGTGTTTTTAACCAGTTAATTGCTGGGAAATGTTCTATAAACGGTGCTTTGCAAATATTTCCCATGTTTTGTTACAACCGTGTAGTTAAATATTTGTTTTTGGGATTTTATGTGATGCAAAATAAGACAAAACTAACACAAAGTTGGAAAATGTTTTGGGATTAGAGACTGAAGTTTATACCCATTTTTCTTTGCAAAACAGCATTACCTCAGACTGGAAGGAAAACTTTGACTAGACCGTTTTATCACAAATTTTCTTAGACTTTTTATGAAAGTCTCATTTTTCAAGTTTTCAGATTATTTCACTCATAGCAAGACATTTTCTCCATTTTGAAAGTTAACTAATCTTCCAATGGAACTAGTACTTTTTCAATATTATTAAAGAATTGTTGACTTAAAACATTTTCTATTTCTTGCTGAAAAGGTACCTGCAAGTTATTTCAAGTGTAATATGATATTTGCACTAGAAACCAGACAAATACTTGGTAAAACTGTGATTTTGCTGTGTAGGAACACAAAAGTGGATTGGTCAGAGAAAAAAAAAAATCCATATTTTCCTAAATCAAATTCAAATTCAGAAATACTTTATTGATCCCAAAGGTAAATTAAATGTTGTTGTAGCTCATATTAATTCAAGTTCTTCAGACTTACTGTAGACTGTGATGACTGTTGACAGGAAAGCTCTCCTGTAGCAGTCTGTATTACAGTGAATCTGAAGGAGCCTCTGACTGAAGACGCTCTGTCTCGTGCAGAGGATGGTCAGGGTTGTTCATCATTTCCTCGACTTCTCGGTTCAGTCGTTTTTACCGCCCGCTGAGGGCTTTTATTCTGACACCCTGACGGTTTCCTGTCGTCTCGCCTGCAGCGGATCAGCACTGCGAGCGGCGACGGCAGACATTACTGCTACCCACACTTCACCTGCGCCGTGGACACGGAGAATATCCGGCGGGTGTTCAACGACTGCCGGGACATCATCCAGAGAATGCACCTGCGGCAGTACGAACTGTTGTGATGGACGGCAGAGACGCGTCCCTTTCTCTCTCTCTCTCTGTTTCTGTCTCTCTCTCTCTGTTGGCCCCTCTGTGTTTCCTCTCTGCCACTCTGCATCCTTGACGAACCCTTTCTATTCCCCAGAGACCCTCAGATTCCCCCTCCTGTCGAGGAATATGAAGTACTACTGAAGTGTGTCAAATCCTCTTCATCTTCTCAACTTTTTTGTACTTTTTTTCTTGATTTATCCCCTTTAATCCGATGATGTTATTGGAAGTTTGGGGAACAAAGTTGTCACGTGCTGCTTCTTGAATATTTTTCTTTGAATCCTTTTTTTTTTTTTTCAAACGCCTTCATTTTTGTCATTCCACTAAGCCTCAGGCTACCTCCTGATTTGATTTTTGATTTTTTTTTTGCCCCGATTATTGTTTTTTTGGGACCTGCTTTGGTAAAGAGTGTGGAAATAAAAAAAAAGAAAAGAAAAAACACACACACACCGACAGGACCTCAGTGTAGAGGCAGGAATGAACCGCCACCGTAACTTCACCGCCGCCGCCTCCTCCATCATTTGACGGAGAGAGGAACCATTTCCTTTAAAAATTCTTCTTTTTATTGTTTATTTTATTTCTCCAGAGGAAACATACACACAATGTAGCATCATAATATTTATTACCCGCCCTGTCACGATGTTGGCTTGCCGAGAGACTTGTGGAGCGAGAGATGAGATTAAAAAGGAAGGGAAAGAAGGGCAGGAAATAACGTGATGACGACTGAGCTCTCTGCACCTTAGCCCTGCTGCCTCCACAGACTCGAACCGGCGTCCTTTTTCTGGTTTTATTGTTTTTTGTTTTTTTTTCCACCCTTTATAGCTTAGAGATACCCAAGAGGAGGAGGGCGGGAGGGGAAAAAATGTATTTGTTGGTTTTTTTTTTGTTAACTTGTACACTGTGCAAGGTCGAATTATCCTGTACAGACTGTAAAATGTAATATTATTTTGTACAACTTAATTGAAAGAAAAACAAATCTACTTGTAGATCTTTGTGCCTTGATTATGGCTGTACCTGTAAATGAGCTCAGATGTAAGTATGTTTTCGACTGCGCTGTACAGCTTGATGTCAAAAACTCTTATCGGCAGCGAAGAGACTGCGGGTAGGGGACTTTCTCTGTAGAGTTTAGTTTTTTCTGGTTTATAAAAATAAAGGAAATGCTGTTTAGTAAAAAACGGGGGAGAAAAAGAAAAAGAAAAAAATATTGACAAAAAAAAATCCTAAAAACCTGTATACATTATGCAAATTAACCACTTACCTGCAGTGAAGACCAGATGTTGCAGCGCCATGCCTTTTTTTTTCTTTTTTTCTCGTTGTTTTAGTTTTGCTTTTGTTTTTTCTCCTTATATATATAAATATATATAAATATATTTTTTGAATTTTACAGCTTTAAACAAACATTGGAAAATCCATTGAAAGTGTCCAAATTGCAACCTGGTGTTGTTTTAATAGGAACCAACTTACTTTTTGTTTTTTGTTTTAGTTTTTCGAGATGAAGTGTGTGAGATCTGTGCTGATGTGCGTGCCTGTGCGCATGTGTACATAAGAGAAACATAGACTCACAGACACATCGTGTGCGTATGCGAGGCCGAGTGCGTGTCGTGCGTGTAAAATTTTATAAATGTATGTACATGTAAATTTATAGGTCTATATAAATATATATGTACAATTATACATGTTTAATTATGTGTGTGCCTAGGTGTACATACCTATGTATGTATACGGTAAATATGTATACATACACACATAGGAAAGCATGTTTAGGATGAAGATGAATAAATGAGAGCGTGCAATATTAGTAATTCTTTGGTCCTTTGGAGCCATACTTTAATGGCACAGGCACTATGAATGTGTGAGCAGCACCCAACAAGATGAGCTCTTTTCCTTGTACAAACAGCATCAGCCTTTTTTTCTTCTGCTACCGTACACGTCTATCCCCGAAAGAGAGTGAACTGACTGGAGGTGCGAAAAGCCTTGTTTGGGCCTTGGGAGGATGATTAAATGACGTTTTTATTTTCTTTAAATAAAGAGGCACATTAGAGGACTTTGCTTTATTTCCACCCTGGTGTCCAGCTGTGTCCATTTTGTTTTTTCCTCTTCTTTTGATTTCTTTTGTTTGTTTGTTTTTGGTGTGTTTTTTTAAGGCAGCAGAAAGAGCAGGGAAAGGCTTGGTCACTTTGGGTTTTAAATCAGTTTTTAACTATTTTAAAAGAGTTTTAGCCATGACTTGGTTAACAGCAGTGGTGGGCACACTTATGCTAATTGCTAACTGTAGTACAGCTAGCTTCCTAAATTATTAAACTAATTTATTTGGGTTTTTAGTAAACGCTCAGTTGAATAAAATGTTAAAATTTTGGTTATCAACTGTTTAAAAATTCTTCAAGAAGTTAAGATGTTTATATTCATGCTTTTATTTTGAAGTGTTTATATTAACCCCCCACCCCAATAACTTTATTGAAATAATATGTAAATTATTAAATTTGCGCTTAAGTGTTGTAGTTTTAGCACCTTAGCTTCCGCTAAATAGGCTCTGTTGGAGGTTAGCGTAACTATTTAGCGATCTGTGCCCACCACTGGTGAACAGTATCAAATTTTTGACTTCCGAGGTAACTTGAACGCATCATCACATGACTACAGGTTTTCTGAAGTAAATGTTAATAAAAAGAAATGGCATCTTTAGAAATTAAACCAAAACGTTTCTGCAAAAAAATAATTGCTGATAGACAATTTTCTTGTTCTCTGCTTCGTTTTTTTTTTTCACCAGAAAACTTTATTAAGAACATCTCATCAGAAACTTGTCAACAATTTGGCACAGAAAGTCTTGGTTAAATACATCCTGATACAGATCATAAAAAACAACGAGCAGCGGTGACGGATGGTCTGACATCAAGAACAGGTTTAAAAAATGGAAATAAATCATGATTGGCACCTACGACTCACAGCAGCAGCGTTTATTTACACGTCCAGTCCGAAAAATTAAAACCGATTATCCTCATCAATGCCAGCACTGATTTACACATTTAGATATAAATATACTGACGTCCTTCACATGATTCAACAAACAAACTGAGGCTGTGCGGGCGGATTGGCGGTTACCAGGCGAGGTGCACTCTGGGTAACGTAGTTCACAGGGACTTGTGCTTCCCCAGCAGGCAGAGGCTGAGCTGCAGCAGCCCCTTCATCCACAGACAGTGCGCCAGCAGCAGCAGCAGCACCCCGGCTCCGGCCGAGCAGTACACCCCGATCACCGTGCTCTCCTCCGGGAGGAAACACTTGGACAGGGAGTGATCGCCGGGCGACAGCGACGCCTGCGGACGGAGAGAGACGTTAGCCGCCTGCGAGTTCTCCACGTTCGCCACCAGGGGGCGCCCGGAAGCCCAACAGCTGCAGCATTTTTTGTGAAGCAAAACTGATGAGGAAAAAATCAGGTTAGAGAGTTAAACAGAAAAATGCAAACAGATTAAAAAAGGAAAAAATAATTTTTATAGAAAGAAACCTCACAAAATTTCACAAAACAAACTAAAATAATTAAATTAGATTAGAATATCAAAACATGATTCACAATTTTACAATAAAAAAAAAAACAGCAGAAGCAAAATAATTATTAATTCTCTTTTCTTTTGTCCTTCCTCATGGATACCTGTTGAACACATCTGCGAATGTTTGGTGACCTTTAACCTCAAATACCAATCAGGCATTTCACAGTAATTGATTATTCTATCATTTATTCTGATGATTAATCAATCAGATTTTTTTTAAAATGGCACATTTTTACAATATTAGAAATACATCACAACACAGATATAAAGAAATAATTCATTTTTAAATAAGAAAATAAATAAATTGTAACAATAGCATTGGTTTAAAATTCACCTCATCGTTTGTAGCAAATAATGAAACTACAGCTAAAAATGAACGTGAAAAGGGTCGACTGTTCCAGAACGCATCGATAAAACCGTTTAAATAGCACTAAGCATTCAATAAGTACTTCTGAAAATTAAAAAACATTGAACATCTTTTCACTTTATCAGTCCCACCAGGTTGCTTGACAGTTTTTGAGATTTTTTGCAATAAAAAAACAGATTTTGTGGTGCTAACTTAGAAAGTTTTGCTAAGAATTTTGCACTTATTTCTGATGGTGAATGTAACTTTGTGTTACTCGTCATGTCAGTCAGAGACTATAACTAAACACCAAGGTAGTCTGAGGCAGCAGTCATAGAAATAAGGAATACTGCCATCTGCTGGTGGGAGTTAGCATAATTTAAATCCAATATTTTTTACCATTTCAGTGAAAACGTTGCTATAAACTCAGTTATTTAACAGGAAGAAAACTAAAATAATTTAAGATTGTTTTCCTCTTTCTGCTGCCCTTCATTTTTCTATTTGCATACTTTTCTACTGTATATAATTGTTTTGTTTTTAAGGATATTTCCCAACTGTAACTACGACTACGTAACAATTAGTTGATTTTGTGATTTTTCGCAGTCGCAGAATCATAAAAAGTTGGAGAGACTGATTAATAGACCTGGTGAGCTGCAGTTAAGAGTGGCCCAGTCAAAGTTCAATTGGGAATCTGACAAAACTTTATAAATACAATTTCCACAGATGCTCTCAATCTAATCCGACTGAGCTGGAGTTGATTTGCAAGTATCATTGGATACTTTAAATCAGACAAAATTAACACAAGAGTAACTTTTCAGAGCTTATTTTAAGTAAATATCTAAAACAAAAGTGTTGAAAACTTAGAATAAATTCACCTAAATTTGTAATTTTTTCCCATATCTGATTATTTCACTTAAAAATTGACATTTTTCACAGGTTATAAGTGAAATAATCTGCCCCTTTTAGACCAATATTAATAAGTTAAAACCAGCTGCTATATCTTGGTGAAAAGTTACTGTTACTTTTTTTTTTCCAAGGGTACTAATTTATTTCCACTAGAAACTGGAGAAACTTTCAACTTTTTAATACAAAATAAAATCCCAACGAAACTGAGCAGTAAATAGAACCGCATGTTCAGAGGCTGGACAAATCAAGTCATACAAATCAAGACTGGATTTGTTTTGTCATTACACTTTTCATTGAGTCGATTTCTACAAATTCCAGCATTTTTAGGTTTCGAAACTGCAAAGTTTAGTAAAAAAATCTACTGTAACCAACTTAGGGTAATTTGAAGGTGCAAAAACAACTAAACATGAAATGATCTGTCTCTCCGCAGGGCGTTTCTGTGCTGCCACTCACCAGGATGAAGCTGGGGTTATTCCTGTTCCTCCAGCTGAAAGACGGCACACTGATTTCTGGGTACTTGTTGTCATGGAGAACCTCGCATCCGCTGTGGGTGTGTCCGCTCAGGATGAGCCGCGGCTTAAACCACTGCAGCAGCTGAAGAGGGAGAAGAAGAAAAGACCCAAATCCACCTTAGAAGCTGCTTCCTCACATCCCCGCTTTCATCACCTCAAGGCGAACGCCGCAGGAGACTCACGCGCTGGGAGGCCTCCTTCGACAACACGTCGTACTTCTCTCTGAACAGCAGGTGGCGCTCTTCAGGCGGCGCTGCGTCCTGCCCGGTGCAGCTGGCATCGCTCACTCGGTACAGCGGGTAGTGCTGCAGGAGAAGCAGATGTCACCACATCTGGGTGTTAAACGTCAGAGAAACGATGGGAAAGTCTAAACCTGAAGCTGCAAAACTGAGACAGAAAAGTCTGATGCTGCTGCTGCATCAAGCTGAAAGTACAGCAATAAATATACATATTTAATATTATCATTTTAGCTTCTGAAATTGAATTATTTGTATCTTGAGTATTTTTATAATATTGCACCCAATGGGATAATTCACAGCAAAATCTGCAGGCATTTTTTAAGTCTGATTAATCTGTTAATCTTGATAATAATCGTTATTTGTAGCCTTACACTCTTCCATAAAGGGTAGATTTATCCAACTATCCTGTCATCTTTGTTGGCCATAAAACTGATTTTGAAATGTAGGACTGAGCGGAGCAGCTCCAGAGTTTATCCCGGTTTACCTGCAGCATAATGGGAGCGGTGGGAGGATACTGGGAGCCCTCGCAGTTCTCTGTCTCGTCACCGTCAGACTGCGACTTCTGCAGGAGTGAACACACAGGGACTGTTTTACCTCTGATTATGTTACTGGACAGAAAAGAGGAAAATGTTCAGAACAAAACATGCACAACACTTCATTCCCAAGGAACTGATGTTCAAATTGTACCAACGATGGCTGCCGGCAGAAACTTGCTCTCACCTGAAGAGAGCAGTTGAGGTCTCTGGAGAGTTTGATCAGGTCCTTTTCCACCGACTGGCAGATGGGACAGCTGTCGCCGTGCAGCGCCACGCTGTTCACCAGCAGGAAGCTGCAGACAGGAGGGGAGCAGCAGCACAAGATCACCTGATTTTTATTGCTAGTTTAGCTGCAGCTTGGGATTTCTGAGTTCATGGGGAAACGTTTTTCAGTTGCTTTTCTTCAAAGGTTCGACAGATTTTAAGTGAAATTTAGACTCATTATGGTAAATTATCAGATACTTTGACTCAGTTCTTAGTTCTGTTTTTACTGGATGGATGGATGGATGGATGGATGGATGGATGGATGGATGGATGGATGGATGGATGGATGGATGGATGGATGGATGGATGGATGGATGGATGGATGGATGGATGGATGGATGGATGGATGGATGGATGGATGGATGGAACAACATGTAGGTGAGGGATTAGAGTCTCTAATCGCCGCCGTTTTCCAGATAATCTAGCTTTTCTAATCCAGACCTGGAAACTTCTCTGTCGTTTTCCAGACTCCATGTTTTCCAGACTCCATGTTTTCCAGATTCCATGTTTTTCAGACTCCATGTTTTCCAGACTCCATGTTTTCCAGAACGGTGATCAGCAACAATCCTGTCAGAATAAATGACCCGTTTTCTCCCTGACGCTCTCGTTCACTCGCTGCCTTTCACGCATTGCTGAGGAATCATTGATTCCAGTTGCAGCAGCAACTCCATCTGTCTGGTGGAGAAACTTTACAACACGAACCTGAGAAGCTTTTCAACAT